AAGTTCTATTCTTTCCATCTCTTTCTTGCTTCTTGTAAAAAAAAAAAGGATTGCTTTTCAGTTATCAGAAGTGTACTTCACCTTTCACAACATTAAATTGATAATTTTCTCTGTTGTGCATAATTAACTCATTGAAAGATGTAACCTGAACCGGTATTCTATTGGTTATCTGCATAAACAATCCTGTGTGTTATGCCATTGTCGGGTGTATATGCCAGATTCCAGTTAGGAGTAAGCTCAGGAGGAAAAGCTGAAATCAGTGCCTTGTTCCAACGAAATAGATGCTATGAAAATGCCACAAACATTTAACATGTTCTATATAGATCATGTCTGTTTATTTGTTGTCTAAGCTTCTGCGGAATGATTGGTTATTTGGAGTGAGACAGGTTAGCTTCTAACATGACAAACAAAACCTTTTGAATTTTAAAATAATATGTACATTTTGAAATACAACGGAATATTTAGACTGGTATAATGGAAGAGTATTTCCTAGCTAGTAACTTTCTGCACGCAAGGAGCTGGCATTTAACAATTTTTGATGATTATTGAAAAGTTGTTCTGTCCCAAGGGTTGTATCTAAGCTGAGTTCTTTCAACCTGATTCCAATTTTTCCTGCCCAACTTGAAGTCTTGAATAATACATGGCACTTAGCAAGTCCACAGAATGATTGATTATCTGGTGTACATGACAAACAAAACTTTTTGTTGTTTTATAATGGTTGTAAAGATAATGGTGATTGCTGGCTGACCATTTGTTTTTGTTGAATTTAGAAGGGTAAACAGTTTGTTGACGAACGGGTTTAATGTTGCTCTATAAACTATTGCTTAGACAGTATAATTTCCCAAGTTTTATCCTGTTTCAGCTTTCTGCAAACTAGGACCTGGCAGTTAACAGCTTAGACATCTTATCATGCCTTTGTGTCAAGTTGTTCTGTCCCAAGGGTTGCATTTGAGCTGTGTTGTTTCAACCTGGTTCCAATTTTTGTAGTCCAACTCGAACAACATCTTGTTCTTGAAGTAGCTTCAATTGGTGGAACATATTGGTGCTTTGCTTATTGTGAGATGACAAGTCTTCAGGTGGAGGAAGGGGGGCTAACCACTAGAAGCAGGTCTTCACTCTCCAGCTGCAATCTCAACAGATTATATTCTTCGTATTCTGCATCAGAAATGTTCCTGCATCAAGGCTTTGCTGAGCTCATTTACTGCAATTCCCTATATTCATTTTTACACTTGAAATCTGCTACACACCAGCATTGTCATGTATTGAAACTTTAGTTTCTGGAAATTCTATATAATCTGTAACAATAATAATGT